AGTAGCAGCAGCAGCAGCAGCAGCAGCAGTAGTAGTAGTAGTAGTAGTGGTAGTACTAGTAGCAGCAGGAGTAGCAGCAGGAGTAGTAGTAGTAGTAGTAGTAGTAGTAGTGGTAGTACTAGTAGCAGTACTAGTAGTAGTAGTAGTAGTAATAATAGTAGTAGTAGCAGTAGTACTAATAGTAGTAGTAGTAGTAGTAGTAGTAGTAGTAGTAGTAATAGTAGTAGTAGTAGTAGTAGTAGTAATAGTAGTAGTAGTCGTCGTCGTCGAGGCATCAGCAGCCAGAGCAGTGGTACTAGTAGTCGTAGTAGCAGCAGCAGCAGCAGCAGCAGCAGCAGTAATATTGATAGAAATAGCGGTAGTACTAGTAGTAGTAGTAGTAGTAGTAGTAGTAGTGGTGGTAGTAGGAGTAGTAGTAGTAGTAGTAGTAGTAGTAGTAATAGTAAACGTAGTGGTGGAAGTCATCATCGTCGTGGTCGTAGTAATGGTAATAGTAGTAGTGGTAGGAGTCGTGGTCGCCGCCGTCGTAGTAGTAGTAGCAGCAGCTGTGCTGGTAGTCGTAGTAGTTGTTGTGGTAGCGGTAGTCGTGGTAGTGATAGACGTAGTAGTAGTAGCAGCAGCAGCAGTAGTAGTAGTAGTCGTCGTAGTAGTAGTAGTCGTCGTCGTCGTCGAAATGGTGGTAGCAACAGCAGCAGTAGCACCAGCAGCAGCAGCAGAAGCAGGAGCAGTTGCAGCAGTAGTAGTGGCAGCAGCAGCAGCAGCAACAGCAGTAATAGTAGTAGTAGTCCCTCCACTTGCTTGCGGCCGTCCTTCTGCCTTTCCATCAACCGTGGATTTCTTCGGACTGGTTGCGAACGAAGAGCAGTCAACTATTTTCAGGTCGACACCGCGGGTGGACAGAAGCGACCCGACATGAAGCTACCAGTGGTCAAACTCGGCCTTCTCGGCGATCACCACACAACCTGCGCTTCTACAGAATCCCGTCGACGCTGCATCGCGCCGTTTCGCATGATCGCGCATGTCTCTTGCGTGACGTGCTCCAGATGTGCTATAGCGATGCGTGTAGGCTAGCGATCGCGCACAGCGCCCATGAACGATGCCATTGTTTCCCAACGGGCGTTTTGCGCGACCGGTCGCACCGGACTGGCAGACTGCACTGGCATGTGCAGGAGAAAATCTGGGTGGCTCAGAACATTCTATCGTAGCCCAAAAATGTCGGGGGTTCCCTTGGAATGAGGCCCGTTCCAACTTTCTTGTGCCTGTCGGGCGAAACCGTTGAGACCCTTCTCAAGTTTTTGCCGTATGCTCTCCGAAGAGATTTTAGTCAAATGTTCGTGATCAATCCCCGGATTTGGGTTGAGATGGTGGACGGTGGTGCCGGACGTGGAAGGGTTATCGATTCCCTGTGCAGCGAACAACCACCCACCTAGACCGGGGGTGGACAAGGCGGATTTGACTCTTGGAGCATGAGGGGTGATGAAGCGATCGGGGCACAGCATCATCGGGATCACGTGGCTGTGGCGGCTCTGCTGCGGACGTGCTTCGCGCATGAAGTCCAGCCACCGCTCGTTTTTCACGGCGGCCCTTGGGTCGGGCGTGTGGAACAAAACCATGGTTCAAAGTAATCGTCGAAGTTCGGCGGCATCGCAAGGAATCATCCTGATACGCCCCCAAAAACCTTTCGTTGGCAAGCGACAAGGAACAAATGCTTGCCGAATGCTTGCCAACGGAAATGCTGAAAAATCGGCATGATTCGAAACGGATTCTTGCTCGAACTTTGGGGCGTTCGAAAAAACAACTAGATTTGGAAATCACACGGCGGTGCAATGCAGCATCATGAGCTCCATGTCGTGCAACTTCAAAAACCTCATTGACAGGTCATGCATCTTCAGAAAATGCAACAGGAAGTCTATGGACTGTGTTCTCCACAATGGTCAGTAACATCCGCCAGATTCGTCACGAGATTGCCACATTCTCGATGCAGCTGCCATCGTCGCAGCTTGCCAGTGGATGGCGCTGTACCGAATGTGTTTCGCACGTTTGGTGCACTGGGAACAGGGTAAATTGCTGATACCGGTTCCGTCGCTCCCGTAACAAACAATGCTGCCATGCAAGATCCCGGACACTCACTGTCAAAACTTGATGATGTTCATCGCTCTTACAATGGATTCTGTGACGTCCTTTCGTCGGGTCGCACTTGCCAAGGTCACCGAATATACCGGCGAAATAACAGGTTCCGACCTGACAATATGTCGTCGAAGAAAGAAGTATGCAGCGGAAGCACCACGTACCCTGCCTGACGTTCTTTGCACGGAATGCAATGTGGCATACATGATGGCCTGCAGCGATGCGGCTCATAATTCAGCGAGCCGTCTGTTGCTCACATGGCACACAATCGACACTGGGAGCCACGCCACGTGCATGCTGACAAAGTTGTCAACTGCGGAGATACCGTTGAAGTTAAAGCATGGGCCTTCTGGGTCGTGACAACGTCTTGCCTTCCTGGAAAAAACTGGAAATCGAGGCCCTTGCCAAACTTATCGCGGCTAATGCGTTCAACCATCGCATGTCTGCATGGGCCGCTGCAACACTTGCTCGACTCGAATTGTGGGTTCGATCAAATTTCGTTGATGGCCCTGGTCCACAGAACATGCGCAGGATGACCCGCTACCGTTGAAACCAGCGGATGTCAGTTGCTGCTTCCACAATACATGGCAAAAGTATACGCCGTTGCATGTGCTGCCATGCTTCTTTTCAACTTTTGCATCTGCTTCTGTCGCACTGCACATGAAACGCTTCAAGCATCGACTTTGAAACAACAATTTTGAACCAGGCTTCCGAACGACGAAGCAAAAGTTTCGCACCAATGATGATGTTCCGAGTGTATTGCCTGCACAAATTTCATGTAACAAGTGGCAGTAGTCAGCTCTGCTGTGCAATCTGCAAAAAGATCTATACCCCGCAAATTGAGGCGAAGCCGCAATGGCTGCACATCGAAACAAAGTTCGCGGCAAATGACACTGTTTGACAAGTATTGCATAACCCTATGTTTTGTTAACAACACTGTTTGTTTTTCTAAGAGCGTCAATAAATTGCCACTGCAAATTGTTCAGATCTTTCGCGCAGCAACATGGGCGGACAAGGCGAAAGATGACATCGAGCTTCAACTTGGATTTGGACAGCATGAAATTCGACGATGTTGTTCTCTCTGCCCCCAGGATCGCTATTCGAGGGGCCACGGACTCTGTTGAGTGTATGCTGGGTACCATTTGCATTTATATGCAGCGTCTGGCACGGCAGATTGCCGAGAATTGTTTTCGAAAACCTTAAACACGAGTTGGACAATTGTAAAGGCTCTGTTAAGTGCAGCGGAAACAATAGCCTCCTTGTTGCAGGATGTACAGCATGATGCATTTTGCTTGAAGGCGCGCTCCTCGCCTCACAAAACCACAGTATGTGGGAAAGAGCGCGAGTGATGTGTAGGCCCGAGAATGGGGTATGTTTCGAGCAGAACCGAAGTGTGCCATGTTCAGCACCCCTGGCCCCACTTAAAACCACATCCAACCGACTTAAACTTCTATGCTTCCTGCTACGACCCAAGAAATCGCATGCTCCCGTTCGTCAGACTGGTTTGAGAAAGTCTCAACAGAAATGCAGCGAGCCCAACCGACTTGCCCAGACTTTGGGCACCTGGAATCGTACTCTGGAGGCGTTTGAGCCTTTTGAGCCTTTAGGGTTTGGGGCTTAGGGCTTTGAGGGTCTGTTGTCATTTAGGGATTGAGCTTGATGGTTTTGGGTTGATTGCTAAGCGACGTCGTAGTTCGGAGCAGGGTTCTTGCTTTAGGCACTGTGTGGCAATGCGCTAAACTTAAAAAGGGGCGGGCGATTCAGACCAGGCCGGGCCACCACGACAGCGATTATTCAGATTCGGCACCTTCTTGTTTCAGCTCCGTTCTACTACACTCGGTCAACGATTTCATGCGGGACTTTGTTAAGAGTCATGAGTGCCGCCACACATCACGAAATGCGAACTTATAGAGTCTAGTATAGAGCGATAGCATTTTCGCCTTCAGCGGGCCAGCATCAGGAGCAGTATTTGGCTATCCAAGCCAGTCCAGTGGGCAGTATGTTTAGCAGCCTTGACTGGATCCTACGGTTCGACTAGGCTTGCACTCCTCTAGCACTGGAACTGGCACTCGTTTTTCCGTGTTGCATCTGTAAGTAGAGGCTCGAGCCTAGCCCAAAGGGGGAGGCCGGGGCGAGGGCTGTGAAAAGCAGCTCAGAGTGACACGTAGGTCTCAGTACGCGATGTAGTCGATGGGCCTGACAATGTGGGCGAAGGTGGGCCTTCCGGGCTCCAGTCTCAGCTACTTGCTGTGGCGCCGATGCGATGGCACTCGCCCTGGCAGCACGGCTGCACTGCCCTGTCCTGGGCTCTCGCGGTCTGTTGGCCCGTGACTCTTGGCCGGGCCCATGCCCCCCGGCCACCTCCTTGCCCCACGCACGCCCTTTTCCGCGAATTTAGGGTCTCCTAACAGGAATAGGTTGAAGCTATTTGGAGCTTAAAATACTTGTATTGTGGCGCCGACCCGACTCCTAAATTCGCGGGGAGGTCCCCTAGGCATCTAAATAACTGTTGTCTTGCTTTATAAGTAACCCTAAAAAAAAACCATGCAAGGAGGTGGACCTTCCGGGCTCCAGACTCAGCTACTCGCGGCGCCGAGCGCCGATGCAATGGCACTCGTCCTGGCAGCACTCACCGGCAGCAGGTGTGCCGGGGCGTCATCCTTCGCTTTCACCCCGTTTGCATCCACAAACCTGTAGTAGAGCAAGTTCAGGTTTGGCCGTCTTCCTCTGCTGTCGACCGGGTCCTTTCCTCGTTTCTCTATGAATCCTGCAGATTTGAGCAGGTCTGCAGGACTCCATCTTTTTTTGTTTGTCAGGCAGTTTGGATTCCAATATTTGTTCAAAACATATTATACAAAATTGCCTATTGGCAAGAAGCGAATATTTCAAGGATATGAAATGGCAAGACAACGCGCACTCACTCGGACAGCACTCTGTTTTATCAGTCGGGGGTAAACGCACCCGAGGTGAGAGGTACGACATCGACAACCGGCACACGCAACCGGCGAACCGTATCGTCCCCCGCAAAAGTGAGCCGCATTCCATCACATCACTGGCAAAGCTCTGCCATCAAGTCTGCTTCGCATCTCACCGCCTTGGCAACGGCATCAGCCAAGCGGGGATCGTAAGTCTTCGAGACAAGCATTGAAAGAACATGTTCGGATACAGCCACATCGCCCTTATCCAGGACCTTGAAGCGCTGCACGGCCTCCTCAAGAGCACCTCGCGATGGCAAGTCCGACGGATTGGACTTCGAGGGTACTCTTTCGTACCACAACGAAGTCTCAAGAATGGCCTCAAGCAAAATCACCGTAAGTCACCAGGCAGATTATGTTCGACATGCACAGCGATGGAGACGTGCGCCGAATGAAGCCATATCGTGCGGCATCGTTGTCGATGTAGGCGGTGATGCAACGACCTCGCAGCACTCCTCTCAAGCCGTAAAGAACAAGTTCAACCGCGAAGGCTTCCACTTCACAGATTATCTGCTCCCCAGCATGCGCTCTCCAATGGTTGCACAAAGCACTGCCCACCGTACCATGAAACATCCAGCGAGCTCCGGAGAGCGGGTCCAGGAGGATCGCCCCCCAAGTCGCCACTCCTCTCTCGTATGCACCATCGGTGTAAAGGATCATTGGCGGCGTCAAACGGGCCAGCAAAGTCCTCGGCCTAGCCGCTTTCAAGACATCCAGCGCAAGCAGTGCAGCAGCTCGAAGTTCATCTCCAAATGTACGGCCCCTGGCAAGGGCCTTCGAGAACATCCGGACAGCAGGCTTGAGCTGGAACCCCAACACGTGGCCGCCTGCGAAATTCAGCAAACCATGAAGACTAGCCAGCTGGGACCTCGTGGCCGGCTTGCCCTCCACTAGGGGGGCTAGCATCGAGCAGATCTTGTCGACACGCCCCAGCTTGTTGGAAACGGTGATTCGGCCCTTCCAGATGTCTTCAAGATTCAGAACAACACCCAATGTCACGACCTGCGATGCAAAAGGAACGAACTTCTTGCCATCCTCGGCGAAGACCCAGCCAAGAAGCTTGAGCAATCTGCAAAGCACCTTATCCAACAAAGAGGCAGCTGGCTTGAACTCGAAGACGGTGTAATCATCATAAAAAGTCCGTGGCTATGGCGTGGAACTTGACCACCATGATGTGTAGCAGCGCCAGGGCCATAGACGCTGGCCGTTGCACCAAAAGGAAGACTTCGGGAGACTGCAAATGTCCAACCATCTTTCTTGTCCGGGTAGCCAAGCACCTGTTTGTGAGCTTTCTTCAAGTCGATCGTTTTAGCAAGCAAGGGAGGTGAGTGCAGCATCTCGGAAGACCAAGCCCCACGCAGCACCTGCCCATCAGACAGAGGCACTACCACCTCTGTCTTGTTTAGCAAAACACGTGACAAGAAGCGCAAGAGTCCCACAGTGAAGTCAGTGTCCTGCAGCACCAAATGCGAGTGGAGTGGGACTCGAAGCTCTGGTTGACAGATGAAGCACTGAAGTCATCGATGACACGAACTTTGCCATCCTCGCCCTGCCTCAAGAGAAAGCGAGGCGACAGGGACCAGCATTGGCAGCCCAAGAAGTCGCTGACCTCCTCAACAGAAGTGAAAGGCCCCAGCAGGAACCCGGCCTCAATCTCCTGAGTTGTTTCATCAATCAAGGCAGCAGAATCGGCCGGATCTGAAGGAGGACGTCGACGCATGGTTTCTTCACGCCTNNCATCCAGCTGGTCCGGGTGAATCTGCATAGGTCGACGACGCTCAGGGAACAGCCGACACTCGGGCTCGACACCCCCAAGCTCTACACCCGAAACCAGGGAGTCAACTACCGAGAGATCCCCGAACCCAGTCTCCTCTAGGAGTTCACGGAAAAGACAAATGGCCTTCCCTCTAGTGACCTCCTCAACGTCAGGATGCATCCCCCGACGCAACTCAGCCTCCTGGGCCTCGAGCTCCTTGAGACGGGAGTTCAGTTGGTTCAACGATTGCAGGCGCAGCTTTGACACTGCGAGCGGCCCATCAGTGCAAAGCTTGAAGATGTTTCGGCGCACAGCATCGGGAACCTGGTGTGCCGACTCTGAAGGAGACTCCAAACCAGAGGCCAGCTGTATATGCTGCTCCATGGTATGATAGACACCCACGATGTCCGAAGAACCCCCAGCATGCCGATTTGTAGCCTGATCTCCACACATGCCAGAGCGAGAAGAACTACCCTGACCACCATGCATGCCAGAGCTGGAAGAACTACCCTGATCACCGCACATGCCAGAGCTCGAAGAACTATCCTGATCACCACGCTTGCCTGAGTCAGAGGAACTGGCCTGATCACAAAGCACCGAAGGACATCCGACGGTTTCCCCCACAGGGTCAGAGCTCTCCGCAAAAGAACCCCCGGCCCCCGAAGGTAGAGAGCTTAAGCACCTTGTAGTTGTAGTCACGATGAGGCGGCACCTGGGAGAGGGGTGCCTGGTACTCGAACTCCGGGATAAGGGCAGCGGCATAACGAGACTGATGCCCGGCAGGGGCGCGCACCTGCGCGCGAAGCTCACGGGCACGCCACTGTTCAGCCTTGGCATTCGGACGGGCACCGGCAGCTGCCACTAGAAAGTCACAAAGCTGCTGAGGGTATGCCGCCTCGTCTTTTGTTTTGAACTGCCATCCCTGATCCAGACGAAGAGGGGCCCAACTCAAGTGCTGGTGCTTGCCATCACAGGCACGCGCGAGACTCTGAAAAGCCTGGGAACCCTTAATGCGAGTGGCCTTGGCGCGACCAGACCCAAACATGCAGCTGTCAAAGTCAAAATCCTGCAAGTCAAAGTACCACTTGCGAAATGAAGCCGGCCCACGCTGTTTGACAAGAGAGGCCAGCAGCGGCCACAACCAGCTCCGCACGGGGTTTTCAATCGTCACAAGAGCGCCACGACTGAAAGCAAGAAAGAGAACCTCTACAGCCTGCGCATACACCTGGTTAGCAGCATCGACTTGCTCCTGCTCGGCAGGCCGGAGGCTGGCCTTACCGAAGAGGTTGTCGGCATCACGCAGAGGCCGGGGCGCATTCGGCAATGGCCTCTCCCGAGCCCTTGAACAAGTGCCACAGGGAAGACCGAAATGGTACCATGCAACATTAGCACGGCTGGCGAAGGAAGCCAGCAGCACGGAACTAGAAGATTGGCGCATGTCCAAGATGAACAAAGGCGTATGGGCATGAAAGCGACAGGAAGGCTGATCGATGGGCAGTGCATTCCACCCAGCGCTCAAAGCAGTTGCAGACAAGACAGCCGAGCCGGCACACACCTCAACAAGCCACGGAGCCTGCACCTGATCAACAAGAGGCATCGCGGCGGCACCGGGGCCATCTGTAGAAGGCCGACCGAAGAGCTCCCTCGGTTCCTGAATGTGTTGGCTCTCAAGGGCCTGTACGGTTGGCAAGGAAAGCCCAAAGAGCGAAGGAGGCGGCGATCGGCTGACCCCAAATGCACAGCCCCAAGAAGACTGAAGAGAACAAGCACGACCCTCCTACCCTGAGCCTCAGAAGTAGAGTGCTGGTGCACGCGGGCACAGAAAGACACAGGCCCTTGGCACACGCGGAGGCGCACCTGTTTCTTGGCATGGACCAAGATGTCACCCCCAGCAAAGGAGCTGAGAGGAACAACCACGTTTGGCAAGAAAGCATTCTGCGTGTCAACATGCACCTTGGTGCAAACACGGCCCAAGATGACAAAGCTTGTGTAATGATGTGATGGCGCGGCCTTGGAAGCAAAACAATTGATCACCTTGAGTGTCTTCGGAAAAAGGTGGCAGGCCTTTCTCAGACCAACCTTTAATTCGGCAGTAGACGCCTCCGGAAAATGAAACCCTGTTGGCATCTCGGTCACTAGTGTCCTTTGGCAAAAGATCAAAGAGCTCAAGAATCTTGGACTGGGAAAAATCATGATTGTCCAGGCAAACTTGAGCAAAGTCCTCAGGGGAAGAGGCCGCGGCCGACAAAACCACCGCCTCAGTTGGCTCGCTGGGAGCCGCTGCTTGCTGGCTGGATTGACTGGTAGACGCGAGGGAGGCCAGCGACTCTCCCGCTGTCTCTTTTCAATGCGAACACTCGATGTAAGGCCGCGACTCCTTGCAACCTTTGTAGTAGCACACATGCTTGCCAAACCGGCAACTCTTGCGCTTCTGAAACCTGCAAACGCCCTTGTTGTAAAACGGGCAAGTGAAGCGCCCCTCAGCATTCTTAGCCTCGCAGTTGTCCGGAAGGCTTGCCAGCAACTCTTTCAAGGACACACCCTCGGCTGAAGCGCCCTCGGCTTGCTTCCCTTTTCCATTCTTGCCCTTGCCGGCCTTCTTAGGATTGCCCTTCCCGGGGCCCTTGCTGGGCCCACCAGTCGACGCAGAGCTCGGGGCAGGCTGATTGGCCGGCACTGGCAACGGAGTCATGCATGCAATGACAAGCGGGTCAAGGCAAAGCTTCTTAAGAAGAGCATCCAACGGAGGATCCAAGCCACTCCCTACCGCGATGTTCCCGCGGGACTCCTGAGACATGATCTGCCACAACTTGGCATCAGCCGAAAGAATCTGCTGAACAGTCACATAACGGTAGCCTGCAGGCGGGGATTCAAGAAGGGCCTGAAACATCTTGTTGCTCCACTCCTCAAGTTGCACGAATGAAGCGAGCCCGACTTGATCGAATGCTAGCGCTCTCCTGAGGAAGCACTGGCGCAAGCGTAACTCCCCTGAAGTATCACACCTGAGGTCGCTCGCCTGATTCGTCATCTTGATGTTGCCATCACTTCCCAAAGAGAGCCGACTCTCACTCTTCACCCCCATAATCTCATCTTGCCTGCTGACACACTTCTCAGGAGGGATGTGTGAAATAAGGCCCTGATCCAACATGGATTGAACCTTATCCACCAGGGCATGGCCAGGCTCGGTCCGAACATCAAGAACCAAACCTTTAAGTTCATCCCTCTGGCGCTTCAGCCTCATGAGGCGCTCTGCCATTGGCATTTCCCGGGGCTGACTGTCGGGGGTTTTCTGAACCTGCTGCTGCAAGTCCAGCATGGCATGAGTATGCGACTCATACCAGAGCCTGCGCACCGTCGGGACTTCCTTGGCTGGGACATCCTTCCCAGTCAAGCCCTTGATTGCTTGAAGCAGTGCAGTATCATCTCCAGAGTTTGGCTGAATGGCACAAATGAATGCCAGCTTGCCGAAGGTATCAATCCCAGCCTTGGTGAACTCAGAGAGAAGATCATCAGCCAACCCATACTTCCGCGCACGGTCCTTGAAGTGCGCCGAGGACTCCAGTCCCGCCATCCCCCTTCTCAGCTAGCCCTGTGCTTGATCAGCAAACAGTCTCGCGCGGGGAAACTCTCAGTTGCAGCTCAAACGAGAGACCAGCTTAATCATGCACAAAAGCGCCACACACGAGCAACCACAGCTCGTCCTGTTGGGGTGGCAGCGAACACAGCTGCCGACGCCAATGACTAACAGCCGAAAGGCGCACAACAAAATCTAATGTTGAATAGCAGCACCAACCACATCAGAGCAATGTTCAGCTCTGATGCAGCACCGCGGCGAGGTCAGCCGGGTGTCTCAATCGAGCAATCTCGCCCCGACGCTGCTGGGCGCAAGGGTCCCTCGCCCATCGAGGCGGACTCTTTCTTTTCAACCAGGGCACATGCCTCCGATCAACTTCAGGCACCGCTATCCGCAGCGGCACACTGTTGACATACATGGTTCTGTGCCTCGCCCTGGGACATGAGTCTCATGTTGGCGGTGACAGGTCGCCCACACTTGAATTTCCCGGGCAATGCCTCACAGTGCACCACCCCTGTGAGGATGTGCATGAAAACATTACCAGCAAAAGTCGCCTCGATACGGGGCCGCACCGCATCGGGCGCGGAAGGCAAATTAAGAGCCTGCAAACCTTTAAGAAGCTCTGTGTCCGAAAGGTCTGAGCCCTCACTCTCAGCATCAGGCACCTCATCATCGCCGTCTACGAGGTCAGGCTGCGTCTCCGGAAGGTGGGAGAAGTCTTCGGGGGCCTTCTGCAGTGCAAGCGCCACCCTCTGTGCTCGCGGCAGGTCAGGCGAGAAGGCACCGCTGACGATGGCCCTCACGATGCGCCCAACTTTCACCATGATCTCTGCCATGGCGTCTCTGCTGTACAGCAAAGCCATTCCAAGCTTGGGATGCACGTGGTGGCCCTGGGTCAACCTTTCCTCATACGACATCCCCGACTTGGCACTCCAACTCAAATGCCGTGGCCTTGAGACTGTGGGACGTGTAGGCCTCAAGGTCTCCTCCAACAGAAGCCAAGTGCAAAATTTCCCTCAGCCACAAGGACCCCTCGCCAGCAGTCATGGGCCGCTGCAGCCACGAAGACGAAGGGGCCAGTGCAGGCATAAGGCAGGTATGCCCGGAGATGCCGGCAGCCTCGCGATGCTTGATCCATGCAGGGCCCCAGCCTGGCTGCACCAGAGTGTGCCCAAGTGCCAACAGCGGCAACATCCGATTCTGTCTATCCTTGGCGCGGGTCTTGTAGTGCGCCGTCCCTGTGTCAAGGATCACAACAGCCCCCGAAGAATCGATGTTGACCCCCTTGGCTCTGGCAGCGTCAGAACTCGAAGAAGCATAAATGCAAAACAACAAGAACCCTGCGACGCAAGCTCGGGCATGATCCCGAGTCATCACGAACTCCTCCAGGGTACGGACATGAGACACTGGAAGAGGCGGTGCCTGCCATAGGCGCTTCTTGAGCTCCATTGATGAAGCAACTCCTGAAACCCTGGCAGAGACCGGATCGTTTGGTGCTTTTGGACACGTTGCACGTTCACTTTTGAATGTCACTATCGACCATGAGCCGTGTGTGCTATTGCGCACAACCCATACTTTGAAAGCGGAGCAAACGATGTGCTTACTATTGCGCGACTCTGAATTTTGGAAGTGGTATGTGGGCTTTGAGGCTTGGAAGCCGGAAG